AAACAAAAAAACATTCTGCTCAGCTTCAGGTTGTCTATACCTAAAGGTCACATTACTCTCCTGAAAGACTGGACTGACTATAGGAGTATGAAATATCTCAGTGATAGTGTTTGGGTTTGTTCCTCGACAAGGGAGCTCATTATCTTCCCCTTTTGCTTTCCTGGCTTTTTAGGCAGACACTGCTTGAGTGTCTAGTTAGGTCACCTAGAAGCTGTGTGGTTTTACATGAATTACTTAACCTAAGCCTCAATCTTCTCACCTGTAAGATGGACCAGCTGATGGTGACTGTCACTGGGAGGGTGTGAGATAATGAGATAATGCACATAGATCGGCGTTTCTCAACCTCAGCACTACTGCTATGTCGGGCCTGATGAGTCTTCTCCGTGGGTCTGTTATGTGCATTGTAGCATGTTTAGCAGCCCCTGGCCTCTATCCACTAGAAGCCAGTAGCAACCCCGACCCCCAGTTAGGACAGCCAAAATGTCTCTAGATACTCATTACTAAATGTTCCCTGGGTAGGGGAGGAGAGCAAACTTGCCCTCAGTGGAAACCCCCTGACGTAGATTACCTAGCTCTGTGCATGATATTTAGCTAGTACTCAATAAATGATGATCATGATCATTTTATATTGAGACTGTAACAGTTTTAGATTTCAACTTTTAAAACTTCTTTTTAGTGTTATTTGTATTTTTGGGACAGAATTGGTTTTTTAAAAGTATGTGAACTGGTTAATTCCATGTTATGTGACCTTTATCTCAATATTTTTTGAAGAATTATTTTATTTAACTTTATTTATTATTATTATCATTATTATTTTCCAGTTTGATCAGAGAGAGACAGAGAGAGAGAGAGGAAGTGAGAAAGCAAGCCACCAGGTCTGAGACCGAATCATGGTCGGCCATGTGGGAGTCCAGCGCCCTTAACCACCATGCCACTTGCTGGCCCCACCTTTATCTCAATATTAAGAACAAGTATGTGATGTGAATCACTAAAAGATTTAAAAAAAAAAAAAAAACTGTGTGCTTCAAAGGACCATCAATAAAGTGAAAAGATAACTTATAGAACGGGAGAAAATACTTGTGAATCATATATATCTGATAGGAGACTAGTATCTAGAATAAATAAGAAACTTTGACAACTCATAATAAGACAAAAAAAGAAAAAAAAAAAGCTGGGAACCAGCAGTTAGCATAATGGCTATGTCGCTGGACTCCCACGTAGTCGACCGTGGTTCGTGTCCTGGACCTGGTGGCTTAAAACTCACGACGGGTGCGTGTGCGTGCATGCCCAAGATCCCGAGAGGAGAATGGAGGAGAAGGGATTGCGGCATGACCATCCCCCCTGGGGGGTGATTTCTCGCTTTCTGTCTCTATGTCTCTCTCTGTCTGTCTGGCGAGCGCATGCGCCCTACAGTGAAAATCTCTCCAAAAAAAAGAAAAAAGAAAAAAAAAAGCAAGACCAGCCCATGGCATGGTAGTTAAGGCAGTTGGATCTCACACGGCCGACTGTATAATCTGAGTTTCAGAAAGAGACTTGAGGAGTGTGTGTGTGTGTGTGTGTGTGTTTGTGTGTGTATAGCTAAAATTCTGACAGGAGGGAGCAATGGGGGAGAAGGAATTGCAGGATGGTCATTCCCCGTGGGGAAGGGTACTTTCTCACACTACCTTTCTTTCTCTGTCTCTCTGGGGAATACATGCACCCTCTGCAAATTAAAAAAAAAAAAAAAAAAGACAAAAATAAAAAATAACTCAATTAAAAAATGGACAGGGACCAGGAGTTGGTGTAATGGCTATGCTGCTGCACTCCCATGTAGTTGATCGCAGTTCAAGTCCTGGACCTGGTAGCTTAAACTCACGCCAGGCGCGTGTGCATGCGTGCCCAAGGTCCTAAGAGGGGAATAAAGGAGAAGAGATTGTGGTGTGGCCATCCCCCCCAGGGGGTGATTTCTCACTTTCTGTCTCTCTATCTCTCTCTGTCTTTCTGGAGAGTATAGCACCCTGTAAAAAAACCTCTAAAAAAAAAAAAAAAGGCAAAGGACTTGAGTAGATATTTCTCTAAAAAAGAAAAACAAAAACATATGAAAATAAGTATTATTAACTGTTAAGGAAACACAAATCAAAACCACAATGAGATAACACTTCACACCCACTAGAATGGCTATAACAAAAAATACAGATAACAAATATTGGCAAGGAGATAGAGAATTTGGAACCCTTATGCACTGCCAGTGGAAATGTAAAATGGTGCAGCTACTTTGGCAGTTTGGAAGTTTCTTAAAAAATTATATACAGGGGGAACTAGCAGTTAGCGTAATGGCTAATGTCGCTGGATTCCCACGTAGTCGACCGCGGTTCGTGTCCCGGACCCGGTGGCTTAAAACTCACGCCGGGCGCGTGTGTGTGCGTGCCCAAGATCCCGAGAGGAGAATGGAGGAGAAGGGATTGTGGTGTGACCATCCCCTCTGGGGGGTGATTTCTCGCTTTCTGTCTCTCTGTCTCTCTCTGTCTGGCGAGTGCACCCGCCCTATAGCGAAAACCTCTCCAAAAAAAAAAAAAATTATATACAGAGTTGCTACATGACACAGAAATTCCATTCCTAAGTATACAGCCAAGAGAAATGGAAACATATGTCTACATAAATCTTGTACATGAATGTTTATAATAGCATTATTCATGATAGTCAAAAAGTGGAAATAACCTGAAGATCCATCAACTAATGATTGGATAAAGAAATTGTGGCCAGGGCCAGGAGGTGGAGTGGTGGTTAAATGTGCTGGACTCCCATATGGCTGACGATGGTTTGAGTCCTGGGCCTGGTGGATTGCTTTCACACTTTTCCTCTCTCTCTCTTTCTCTGGTCAAAATGAAAATAATAATAATAATAATTTCAATAAAAAAATTATTTTAAAAAATTATTTTATTTAACTTTATTTATTCATTCATTTATTTATTTCAATTTGACCAGAGAGGGATAGAGAGAGAGAGAGAGAGAGAAAGAGCAAGCTGCCAGGTTCAGGTCTCGAACCATAGTCAGCCATATGGGAGTCCAGCACCCTTAACCACCAAGCCACCTGCCTGCCCCAATAAAATAGTTATTAAAAAAAGGAATTGTGGGGGAACCAGCAGTTAGCATAATGGCTATGTCGCTGGACCTCCACCTAGTCAACTGCGGTTCGCGTCCCAGATCCGGTGGCTTAAAGCTCACGCCAGGTGCGTGTGCGTGCGTGCCCAAAATCCCGAGAGGAGAATGTAGGAGAAGGGATTGTGGCGTGACTATCCCCTCTGGGGGGTGATTTCTCGCTTTTTGTCTCTATGTCTCTCTCTGTCTGTCTGGCAAGCGCACGCGCCCTATAGTGAAAACCTCTCCAAAAAAAAAAAAAAAAGGAATTGTGGTATATCTATATAACGAAATATTTGGAATATTATTCAGACATAAAAAGGAACAAAGCACTGGGCCAGCTCTGTGGTGCTGCGGTAATGCACTGCTCAAGAGAAGCCCAATCTCAATATGGTTGGTGACTCTGGTTTGAATACTCAAGCCCAGTGGAGGGTATGGTCACATCCTCCCTCCATGGGCAATGATCATGCTGCAATCCCTTCATTTCTCCTTCTTTTCTTCCTTTCCTTCTCTCTGTGTCTCTCTGGCAAGCATATACAACCTCTGGTAAATTACACACACACACACACACACAGATACACAATTATTTCAAGGCAAGAAAAATCTAGAAAAACATAAACAAACAAACAAAAACTAGCAAGGAAATGGAAAACTGAACTAATTAAAATACAGCCAACAGGCCAGCAGGTGGCATAGCGGTTAAGGTGCTGAACTCCCACATGGCCAACTGCAGTTCAAGTCCTGGACCTGGTGGCTTGCTTTCTCAATTTATCTCTTGCTCTGTTTCTCTCTGGTGAGTGTACTTGCCCTATAGCAAATTAAAATAATAATAATAATAATAAATAATTTTTTGGAGAGGTTTTTGCTACAGGGTGTGTGCACTTGCCAGAGAGACAGAGAGAGACGGAAAGTGTTCTCACCCCCAGGGGGGATGGTCATGCCACAATCCCTTCTCTATTCTCCTCTCGGGACCTTGGGCACGCACACACACGGGCCTGGTGTGAATTTAAGCCATCGGGTCCAAGACTCAAACTGCAGTTGACTACATGGGAATTCAGCAAAATAGCCATTACGCTAACTGCTGGTCCCAATAGTAAGTAAAATTAAATAATTCTTAAAAAAAAATACAACCAAAAGGAGATACTCTTTTTTAACCAACAGAGAGAGAAAGGCAGGCCAGGCAGAGGTGCAGTGGTAATGCAACTGGACCCACATGGGAAAGGCTCGGGGTTTGTGTTCTGAGGCTTCCCTGTATATCCTGGGCATGCATGATATGCTTGTGATTCAGGCTAGCCGAGACTAGAAATGGACTGTAGCAAGGAAGACCATGTCAGGGGTGCCTATTTCTCTCTGTCTCATGCTCATGGAAGAAAGAATGAAATACACTTTAAAAAAGAAGAGCACTGTAATGATGTACAGTGAATGAATGCAAATAAATACATTGAAAAAAAAAATGGCAATTCTACCCCAAAAAAATAAAAATAAAAAGAGCAAAACTTTTTTTTAATAATACTTATTATTGACAAGACTATGGAGAAACCGCATACTCTTTACTATTGGGAGCAGTGTCAATTGCTCTACCTGTCTAAAGAGCATTTTTGAAGAATCTTATAAAATATTTAATTCACATACCTTTTAACCCCCCAACCTTTTTCTGAGTTTATATATTTGCACACACAGGTCTATGGTACATGCAAAGATGCTCATTACAACAGGGGTCCCCCACCTTTTTGGCACTAGGAATCAGTTTCATGGAAGACAATTTTTCCTCCAACTGGGGTGGGGGATGGTTTCAGGATGATTCAAGTACATTACATTTATTATGCACTTTATTTCTATTAGTACTACATTGTAACATATAATGAAATAATTGCAGAACTCACCATAATGTAGAATCACGGAGCCCTGAATTTGTTATCCTGCAACTAGGCGGTCCCTGGGGGCTTCTATGGTAATCTAGTGCTGCTGCAGGTCTGACAGGAGGTGGAGCTCAGGGGCTAAAAGAGTAAGGGGGAGAAGAAGCTTCCATCATCAGCTACTCACCTCCTGCTGTGTGGCTAGGTTCCTAATGGACCCATCCTCCCAAGGGTTGGGGATGCCCTGCATTACAGCAATGTTTATAATAGCCAGACTAGTTACAATTGAAAACTGTATCAAGAGGGGAGCAAACATGGGCCAGCATGGCAGTTAAGGTGCTAGGCTTCCATGTGGCCAACCACAGTTTAAGTCCTGGACCCAGTGGCTTGAAAATCATGCTGGGCATTTGTGCTCCCATGCTCAAAATCTCCAGAGGAAAATGGAGAAGAAGGAATCGGGGTGTGGCTATTCCCTGAGGGGTGATTTCTCACTTTCTCTCTCTGTCTCTCTACCATGAGCACATGCATTCTATGGCAAAAATCTAAAAACCAAAAATGAAAAAGTTCTATAATCCATACAATAAAGTACTTGCAAAAATTTTTTTACAATAAGTCTTTATGTCCAAATTATATTAAGGGAAAAAGGTATGTAGACTAGTACACATAAAACGATCCCCTTTTTTCCTTAAAGGTGGACATCCATGAATTCACACACATATGACATACGCATGTGAGTTTTTAATTCCCTGAGGGGTATTCTTTTTTTTTTCTGAGAGGTTTTTGCTTATAGGGCGCGTGCACTCACCAGACAGACAGAGAGAGACAGAGAGACAGAAAGTGAGAAATCACCCCCCAGGGAGGATGGCCACGCTGCAATCCCTTCTCCTCCATTCTCCTCTTGGGATCTTGGGCACGCACGCACACGCGTCTGGCGTGAGTTTTAAGCCACCGGGTCCAGGACGCGAACCGCGGTCAACTACATGGGAGTCCAGTGACATAGCCATTACGCTAACTGCTGGTCCCTTAAAAGAATTTTTGACAGACAGGCCATGTGACAGAGACAGAGAAAGCATCTTCCATGGGGAATGGTCATGCTGTAATCCTGTATTCATTTCTCCCTCCTTTTGGGATTTTGGGCATGACACACATGTGTCTAGTATTTCTCAAGCTACTGAGTCCAAGACTCAAACTACAGGGGCCGGCAGGTGGTGTGGTGGTTAAGGGTGCTGGACTCCCACATGGCTGACCGCAGTTTGAGTCCCGGACCTGGCGGCTTGCTTTCTCACTTTCCCTCCCCCTCTCTCTCTCACTCTGTCACTCTCTGGTCAAATTAAAATAAAGAAAATAAAAAGTTAAATAAAATAATTCTTAAAAAAAAGAGACTCAAACTACATACCTAACAATGTAGGATCCAGCCACTTTAACCACCATGCCACAGGTTGGCCCTTTAAAAAGAAATGGGGCATATGTGCTCACTGGAGAGAGACAGAGAGTGAGAGAAAAAGTAAGAAATCATCCCCTGGGTGATGACCGCCCTGCAATCCCTTCATGCCTTAAGATTCTGGGCATGTATACACACTTCCTCTGTGTGTTTTTCAAGTTGCCAAGTTGAGACTTGAATGGCAAAGTCAGCCATGTGGAATCCAGCTGTCTTTATCACCATGCTAACAGCGGGATCAGTGATGCAGTTCCTAAAGGTCCTAGTTATTTTTTGGGAATGGAATCGGGAAGATCTGTAATGAAGTAGATAGGATGGCTTCTACTTTTCACTTTATAGTTTGCAAGACTTCCCTAAGGTCACTCAGGAAATGCTTGAGCAATTATTTAGAAAGCCACTGTACAAGGTACTGTGTTGTCACCAGAAAGAAAGAAAATATAGCGCAAGTCAAACTACTCTGGTTCCTTAAACCTTTTCCATTTCTATGCCTTTAAATCTCCACATTCCTCAACTCTTAGGGGCCTGGCCTTTCTGTCTGTGTTTCAAGGTGTAATTGAAGTGTTTCGTCTTCCAGGAAGTCCTCTCTAATTCCCACCACTGATCCGTCCTTTTATCCCCTCACAAATATGACTGCATGTTCTCCAGTATCTGGTGTGTGCTTTATGCTGCTTTTCAGTTTTTGCAGGAAGGCTGTGGGTATCCACCAGGAGTGGATGTGTGGTATCATTGTTTAGATTTTACTAAAGGCAGTTCAGGATTAAAAAAAATAATAATAAAAACATCACCAGGCCTGCCGGGTGGCATGATGATTGAAGCAGCTGGATCCCACATGACCAACTGCATGGTTTAAGTCCCCAGCAGCTCGCAAAACATGTTAGGCACTTGTGCACGTGTGCCCAGAATCCTGAGAGGAGAATGGAAAAGAGATTGTGGTGTGGTCATCTTCCACTGGGGGTGGGGACTGGCGTTTTGTCACTTTCTGTTTCTCTCCCTCCAGGGAGAGACTTCCCTCCTATAGCAAATTAAAAGAAAGAGGTATCACCTTTTGGGAGTGGACTGGTTTCCAGGGTCATTGCCTGAGTGAGAGAGAGAGAGAGAGAAAGGGAGAGATTAAGACCTTAGTAGGACCCAGAAAAATCAGATTTACCACAGAAAACATTAAAATGCACTCAGATTAAATTTCCTTTTCGGGACCAGCAATTAGCGTAATGGCTATGTCGCTGGACTCCCACATAGTCAACCGTGGTTCGAGTCCTGGACCCGGTGGCTTAAAACTCACACCGGGCGCATGTGCGTGCGTTCGTGCCCAGGATCCCGAGAGGAGAATGGAAGAGAAGGGATTGCGGCGTGGCCATCCCTCCTGGGGGGTGGTTTCTCGCTTTCTGTCTCTATGTCTCTCTCTGTCTGTCTGTCTGGTGAGGGCATGCGCCCTATAGCAAAAACCTCTCCAAAACAAATAAACAAAAAATTTCCTTTTTGCTCTAAAAGTAATTGAAGATTGGGACCAGCAGTTGGCATAAAGACTATGCCGCTGGACTCCCATGTAGTCAACTGTGGTTCAAGTCCTGGGCCCGGTTGCTTAAAACAATGATGCCACACACCCACTCCTGGTGGATGCTCAGGCCTGGCAAGTGTGTGTGCATGCCCAAGATCCCGAGAGGAGAATGAAGGAGAAGGGATTGCTGCGTGGCCATCCCCCCAGGGGGTGATTTCTCTCTTTCTGTCTCCCTGTCTCTGTCTGTCTGGCTAGCGCCTGTGCCCTATAGCAAAAGCCTCTCCAAAAAAAAAAAAAAAGTAATTGAAAATTTTAGGGTTTCCAATACAGTAATCATTTTAGGGGAAAAAAAACACATTATAGAATCTATAAATTATGCTTCTGCAGGTCCTGTACAAGATAGGTCCTCCTCCTTTACTGCTGAATAGACAAGGTGCTGCTCTGCCCCTGCCTCCCTCTCGGCTCCAGAGAACTCGGGTTCCCTAGCACTCCCTCCACCCTGCCTGTGTATGCCTTCTTTTGCTTTCGGGTTTTTGCACCATGGCCTCCATCTCTCCTTTCTTCCTAAACCCTACTTATTCTTTAGGGTTCAAACAGGACAAGATCCCTGAGAGAAGACATAAGGAGTGAACACGAGTGGCTCATTTCCGTGGTAGACGCTAGGAAGACATAACCAGGCCACAAAAGAGCGTGGTGGGTGCCACTAACTGGGCTGAGCTGACCAGGGCTCTCTGCGCTGAGGCCATTTGAGCCCAGCCTTGAGGACTGAGGAGGAAAAACTTCCAGAGAGAACCAGAGGCAGGAGACCTTAGCGTCCAGAGAAACACGAGGAAGGGCAGTCTGGGTGAGCCAGAGGGCTGTGAGACCGGGCAGGGCCAGACCCCGCGGGGAGGCCACGGTGCTGTCAGACTTCTCTGCTTGGTGCCCGCGCACGCACGCTTGCACGCCGGGGCGACAGCGCCCAAGCAGGCCTTCTGCAATGCCTGGGCCCTCGCTATGGGCGGGTAAGCCTGGCTCTGTGCGGTCACCTCCGGGGGCCACGCCGCCTCCTCAGGACTTGATTCGGGGAGGCCCCAGCGGGGCCGAGCGCGCAGCCGCACCCACAGCGACGCCAGAGCGACTGCGCACGCCGGGCGCTCGGATGGCCGGCCGGCGCTATCCCTGGGGAGCCGGGCTTCCAGCTCCACGCAGCCACGCGGGTTCCGGCCTGGAGAGGCCGGGGCCGCGCGTGACGCAGCAGCCGCACGTGGCACGGGAATGTGCACTTCGGGGCCGATGCGGGGGCTGCCCAGTTTGCGAGAGCTGGGCACCCTCTCTTCCGGTGCGGTCTAGTTCACGGGAAGGGGATGGGAGTACGCGCAACCGAGCAGGCGAGAGATAAGCATTGGCAGGGCTCGCAACGTGGAAGTTATTCTTTGAGTTCTGATGCTATTTGCCCGTCTAAGAAATCGGGCTCTGAAACAAGCTGGGAAAGCGCTTTGCAAACTTGGGGCACATTGGGCGCTTATTCTCCGCCCCTACTTCCCTTCTCTGTTAGAAGTCCAAAGAGTTGGAGTAAGCTTGCTGTCACCCACCGCATCCCTGGGTTCCCACGCGGCCGCCAGGACTGGTTTGGTGTTTCCCCCTTCGCACCCCACAAAAGCCTGGAAGCACAGGAAAAGCACCCGCGGGGTGCGGTCGCCTGGCAGCGTCACGTGACACCGGCTCAGCGCTTGGCGTCTGGAGGGCAGCAGGCAGGTGCGCATGCGCGCCACCTTTCTTGCCTTCCCCCTCCCTGGGGTTGGCTCGGACGCAACCACCATCGGCTCCTCCCCCGCCTCGCCCTCTCCCTCGGTCCTGACATTCGCTCCCTTCCCCCCTGCCTATTGGTTACGTCAGGCAGACAGACTGATGAACCAATCACAACGTTGTGTTCAAAGGCCGGCACGCGGAACCTGGCCGGTAGGACCAATGGGGACGCTTGGAGTGGGCGCACCCCAACGGGGCAGGGGAGCCGGGCCCGAGTGGGCGGTGCTTCTCCAGTCAGCATGTGGGCGGGGGAGGGCGGGGACCAGCAGCCGCAGAGGCGTCGACGGCGGGCGCGGAGGCGGC